TCTTTTCTTGCTTAGCCTTAGTCGTTTATATGTAGTGAAATCTAAATTGAAGATAAAAAGTTTTATAAATTAAAACGAATTGATTTTCAAACTAATAACTAATTTTGAGGTTTTAAGTTTAAGTTTTTGACTTGGCTATAAAAAATAAGTAGGGACGACTCAGTGCATTTCCCCCCCCACAATCATAATCCTTTTCTTCCAGTACAACCAGCACAGTTAGATAGAAATTAAACGTCTCTCCAAAATCCAGCGGTACCTAAGAATCTATGCCTGTATGTGTGTCACTTGTAAGCCCAGTAAAGATTTAAATTCTCTGTTTACTGTGACTTAATTTTAATATATATAATATTATATAATAAGTACTATAAGTTATATATGCACACCCATATCTTGCTCAGAAAAACAGAACTAACTTAGACTCTTGATCTTATTCACTTTTAGGCTCTACTTGGAATAACGGTTCTAAATGAACTACGCAGAAAGTTAACCCAAAAAGAGCCTCACAACGCAGACAGTTAACCCAAACAGAGCCTCACACATATGTAAAAGTCGCATTTCTTTTGCGCACGACATTTTCACGGAACGCAACTGATTTTTTACGGCAATTAGATGGCGGAAAAACAAGGATCAACTACATACGAAAAAAATTACCGACCCGCAATAATACTCCCGATAGGGCTATCCTACGGCAGGGCCCGAGTTATATGTAAGTTGCCGATCGCTTTTCGCCAACTATAGTGCCACCTCCAAGAGTATCCCCCGCGTAGCGGCGTGGAGGGGGCTAAACTAGATGGCTGGGACTCACGAGCAGCAGCTACCGCAGCTCCTGCAGCATCCTCCAATGTATTTGCTTGTGAGTCCTAGCCATCTAGTTTAGTTCCTTCCGTGCCGCGCGTAGCTGCGTGGGGGATACTCTCGGAGGTGGCACTATAGTCGGGGAAAGAAGAAGTTCACATTTTGCACGTTACTGTCCCCAAGTCAGCGTACGTTTCCAGCCTCGACATTTTAAAATGTTTGTAGGGCAGGACGTAATGAGGCTCTGTTTGGGATTAACTTTCTGCGTAGTTTATTTAGAACCGTTATTCCAAGTAGAGCCCACTTTTATTCATCTTCTTCTTCTTTAGCATTCCGGCACTGGAGGTTCCTTGCTGCAGATATCACCCGCATCAGTTAATCACTGTGGTTGGTCTTTCCAGTTGATGACACCAAGTGTTTGCAGGTCTGTCTGGACATTATCTCTCCATCTGGCTATCCTCCGAATAACGGTCCCGATTTTTGAGGCAGTAAATATACCCTAACAGGGCCTCAGTCACGTGTCAATTCCGGACTTCCGGGAACTATAACGCCACTGCCGAATTGCAAACTTCCGGGGACTATACCGCCACCGCCGAGAGTGGGGCTAAACTAGATGGCTGGGACTCACGAGCAAATAAAATGAAGGAAGCTGCAGGAGATGCAGTAGCTGCTGCTTATGAGTCCCAGCCTTCTAGTTTAGCCCCAATCCACGCCGCGTGAGCGGCATGGAGGATACTCTCGGCGGTGGTGGAAGTGCGCAATTTAAGACGATTGAAGTGCGCAATTGGCACGTAACTGAGGCCCTGTTAAGGTAATTTTCGGCCTCGATAATTTGGGACCGTTATTCGGAGGATAGCCCTCCATCTTTTTCTTGGTCTGCCTCGTGGTCTCTGACCATTCATCTGCCTTCTACTTTAATTCAAATAATATAATTTGAGAATAATGCCAAAGACACCATGCATTCGACTTGCTGAATAGTTAGTTAGTCGACAGATTATCCTCATTGCATGTCGAACCACCCAGTCCATAAGGGCTCGGATCCCCTCCTCAGTTAATCCCGCAGCGTGTAGCTGTGTTGGTTTATCATTCTTCTTTGGCTACCCGCGTAGTGTTCTTGTTTGGCGCCACCCCATTTAACATGTTGTTCTTGCAGTCTGACTATGGTTGCAGATTCACAGTTTGTTCACGCAAACATCTTAACTCTTCTAGAGCATTCAGTATATCAACCTGGTCCATGGCCTGTCCGGCTTTCACAGTAGCCTCACCTGCAAGCCTATCAGCTTGCTCATTTCCTTGTACCCTTACATGTCTTGGCACGAAAATGAAACTAATCCTTGTCAGTCTTGAATTCTGTAGAGCCACCAACCACTGCCTTCAGACCCAGCCCTTCTCTATCTCTCTGAGCTTACTGGTCGAGTCACTGAGAAAGCATGCCCCAGTGAAAGTCCCTAGCCATGTTACTGTTTTAGTCACAGCCATGACCTCCAAACTACTTTTAGTTACAGCAAAAGCTCCAGAATCTTCCTTCAAAACTCCCCCTCCATACTGAGCCGTAAAAGCCCACGAGCTTCTAACGTGGCGGATTACAGAACTTAAACATTGATAAAAATTGTAATAGTATTAATATTATTATGGCTTACTGCTGTAGTTTGAAAAATATTTTGACAGAGAAAACATGTTTAAGATAAAGAGCTCAAGAGAAGTGGGCAAAACTGAAAACAGTGACCCTAGGGGACGCAAGCTATTGTAAGTTACTAATACTTTAAATATGGACCCTAGGGGACATAATCCATGTTTATGTAAGTTCACATAATAGTATCCTTTAGTATTTAATAGTGTGAGGTTAGGGTTAGCCCTAACTCTAACCCAAACCCTAACCGTCACCTGAAGCAATATGAAAAATTACAGTACATTATTATGTGAACGTAAACAAACAATTGATTGTGTCCCTTATTGTAAACAAACAATAGATTGTGTCCCCTAGGCTCGCCATTTTCAGTTTTGCAGATAATTGCCTGGATGGATTAATTATTACACCACAAGAAAAGCAGCCCTGAGTAAGCTATAGAGGAGATCAATATTGTTGAAGCCAAATACTAATGATTGAAGTCTGTAAGTTGATAAAATATACTTCTTCATAGGTAGCACAATGTAAATATCACATTTTTACGGGAGATATACGTGTATAATCCGTATGTTGAATGGCCAAATGTATGTTGGAAAAGTAACATAACCTTCCGGTCTCTCAAAAACTCATCTTCATCTAAGCGTTTACTGACTGTAAACTCTTTCAAAAAAGTTCTGGTTGTTCATCCACTTCTGGAATTTGGCCTTGTTCCAAAACTTGACTTTTGCATGTACATCAATTTTACAGATCTAGCTCATTTTATTTGCAGACCGTGTTTCATGTCCTCTCAGACAAATGTACTCCAACTTTAAAGGGGACACCCTAAATTAGTCATCTTTTACAACATGATTGTAAGGGGGCAGTGGGTTGGTTCTTCCACTCCATGCCCCCTCCCCCCAAAGGTTCTTCAGGACCCACATGGGGAGACGTCTTCAAAAAAATACTACAGGGCTCGGAAGAGGAGAAAGAGATCAGAATTATGAAAACATAAAATAAAGTCCATTGCATCTGACTGACCAAAGCAGAGGGAACTGATCAGTCACTTGACAGCAACTGATGGTGACCCCATGTCACGCAGATGTTCAGATGGTAGAAGAAGAAAAAAAAAATAGAAACGATATCCAAATTATGGAGAGCAGCTGGCCGAGGGGTAATTGTGGCCTTTCATGTGGGAGAGGCCAGTTCGAATCCTTGGTACAGTGATGCAGTTTTGTAACTATGAAAATGCTATATCAGTATGTAGTTTATAAATTACAGTTAATTACAGTCTCTCCAAGATTGCACATTTAGGGTGAATGGCAGAACATGCTGGAGATCTATTAAGCAACGTCATTTTGGAGAAGATCTCTGCTTGGTCTCGAGGCATGGTGTCCGCCTCAAATGCTAGAGATCCCGGGTTCAAGCCCCGATAAAGGCTGGCATTTTTTCACGTGGACTTCTAGCTAGTAATTTTCCCTGGTCTCTGGGTAGTAAGACCGGACGCCTGTGTGTATTATTGCTCACGTAAAAATATTCCTTGGCAGTTGGAAATCGAAAAGAGTAGCCTAACAGCACTGCCCTGGCAAAATTTGGAGTTAAAAATCTACCCTCAGGATCCTCGCTGGTACAACAGAGTTTGTACACTGCGCTGATATTCTTCAGACTCAGGCTTGAGTTAGAGGAAGAACGGAGCACTTATGGGTTACACCCGTGTGCAATGATTTTGATCCATTGAATAAACATGAACATAAACATATCATTGTGGAGACAACCCTCGGTCAGTTCATGCGACTTCCTTTATAGACTTGTCCATGGTTGGTTGGACTTAGCAGCTATATTTTTCTTTGATGTGAGGTAGCCAGTTTTATGCTAACCCTCCAGACAGCATCTATCAGAACATTACTTTTCTTCTTGTGATTGCTACCTTGAATTACACTAACAAATGAGTCTTTTCGATAGAATTGACTGTTTCGTGGAGTATTTCTCAAGTTCAATACAGCTTTGAGTATAATTTTGACTCATTGGGCCAGTATTCCTTTCTTCATTGGCTGCACAGGGGTCATTTTAAGGACAGCTGGTAACATAAGCATTTTAACTCTTTGAGTCTCAGGGGGTTTAACATCACAGGCCCAAGGGGTAGTGAAGAGAGACATAAAATTGGCGCATCATGCGTTCATTGGGCTTCTGGGTAGGAACTTATGAACGTATGATGCGTTCCTTGGGACTCAAAGAGTTAAGCTATAATTATAATGTTTTTACATCTTTACTGGTGTCTCCTGGCTAGGTTTTGAAAAAGGTCTTGGAAGGTAAAAGTTATTTGCAGACACCATCTTATAAAATAGTTTTATTTTTGTTTTAATTTTTTTTTTTTAGTATATACAGATCTTTTTTTTATTTCTGGGGACTAGAGCTTTTAAAAAAAAAAAAAAAAAAGAACAATATTGAACCCTTAAATTTAAATTTGTTCCCCCAAATGGGGAAGACAGATCTAACCACTTTGACACCATTATTTAATTATGACGGTAAAATAACAACCGTAACCTCACGTTCGCTGATTCTTCACTCAGTTGCAGAACTCTTGATGTGAATACAGTTCGACATGGAGTGGGAACAGCAGATTCCCAATCCGCAGTCTAATCCGTCAAGTTTGTCAAGTGATTCCGCTAGCAGTGGTGGGACAAGATCTGAAAAAATAACAACACTGAAGCAGATTCCCCCAAGTTCTACTGTTTCCACTTTGTCAAAATTAACGGACGATGAACTACGAAAGAAAGGTATTAGTTGTTGCTTGCATACACATTTTTACATTTTGCTAATGTGTTTATTTTCAGGAAAGATGGCCTTAGGATGTTTGAAATCAGTATTCTTTAGACATCCATTTTTATTAAAAGCTGACTGTTTTATAAAAAAAATATCAAATATCATTGTTGCTATGTGACTTCTGGGGGACCATTATGGGGAAACAAATTTGTAGACCTTACCCCCTTCTCTCTCTCTCTCTCTCTCTCTCTCTCTCTCTCTCTCTCTCTCTCTCTCTCTCTCTCTCTCTCTCTCTCTCTCTCTCTCTCTCTCTCTCTCTCTCTCTCTCTCTCCCTCTCTCTCTCTCTCTATCACACACCCACATACACGCACGCACACTCACTCACACTCTCTCACTCACACTTATTCACACTCGCTCACTCAGGCATGTCACAAAGGCAACTAATTAGGGATTTGCTGAGGTCGAATGTGTTGAGCCAGAAATTGCAGATATCCCAGCTTTCATGTAAACTACAACACCACCCTGATCACAATAGAAAATATATCAGGGAGGTGTGATGTTTCAGCTCTGAGATTGTGACAAATGTATGTAGCTCAGAAATAGCTGAATTTTCTTCAAACTTGCAATTGTGCATTAAAAATAAAAACCCAATTTATTTCTAAAATCACAGTCTCTTGCATAATGAGATGATAAATACCAAAGAGTCACCATGTTGTATGATATTATGATAGTATACAGATGTAAAAAAACTTTTCAGAGAAGTATGAAAGTAAAGGTTGCGCACATTAAAAATCTGGCTACGTTGACAGTCTCATTGAGTATACATGTACAGTAAGAGTATGGCAGGACTAAATTATATACACTTGTTCAACAAGGTAAATACAGAGAAAGATTGCAGGTTTCTAGTGCTAGTACTTCCATTGATGCACCTCCACAACCCTCACAGGTCAAGTTTTCTTATGTTACCACCTCTGCAGAAGCTAATGTAGGCCTTGACTCTTCATGAATATAATTGAGAATTTAGTACTTCTGCTTCTTCTTCTTTGCTGACTAGCTGTAAGTTCCGGTGGAAAATCCTGGTTGTTCAGCCATTTGGACTTTGGCTTTGTGCCAGAACTGAGCTTTGCATGTACATCCATTTTACTGGCTTATATATGTGCAGTTAGTTGTTCCTTGCCGCTCAGACTGATAAACTCCGGCTTTGAAGGAAGACCCCAAAAAGCCGACTTGCTTATTGATGAGGCAGTGGGTCTGTACATTAGTAACCATGGAAATGAGGTGTCTGAGAAAGACTGTAGGAGTGACCAGAAAAGATAAGATCAGGAATGAAAACATGCAAGATAAAGTCTGCAAATAATCAGTTCTAAATTACATACAAAAACAGCAAATTAAATGGTTTGCCCACTTGGAGAGAATGCCTTCTGATGCTATACCATACAAGGCATATACCAAAAGAGGAGAGGGATGTAGAGCAAGAGGTAGACAAAGAACAATATGGGAAGAAAGCATCAGAGAAACTCTACAGCACCACGATGTGCTTATGGTCGAAGCAGCCAGAAGAGCACGAAGCAGGACGTTGTATCTCCCTCGAAACACCCGAAGCAGTACGAGAGGACGTAAAAAAGAAGGAGAAGTGGGTCTGTTCTTGTTTTCCCTATAATGGGGCCCAGAACCCACACGTGGTAGAATCGAATACAAAATATAATGTCTCAACTAATTTTGCGTGTACAATGTCTGTCAATTTGATTTTCAACAGGTGTGGAGGATCTCTTAAGAATTGTACGCAGGGTGGAGGCAGACTACAAATCCTTATTAAGGGAACATGGGAACATGGTGAAGGATGTTAACCAAAGACTTCAGATCTTCATGCTGGAAACAAGGAGCCTAAAAGAGTTCAATCAGAAGCTGCAAGACGACAATCAGGAACTTCGAGATTTGTGTTGCTTTTTGGATGATGACAGGCAGAGAGGTCGAAAGTTAGCCCGTGAGTGGCAGCGGTTTGGACGCTACACTGCTAGTGTAATGAGAAGTGAGGTAAGTATTGCATCTGCCTTACTGTTTTCTTCTTCATTCTCTTAATCTTTTTTTAGCGTTCACCAGGCTTAAACTCGGGCAGAAAGTTCTGGTTGTTCATCCACTTCTTGACTTTAGTCTTGTTCCAGAACTTAAAGTTTTTCGTGCACATTGGGCTCTGTTTACACTGGTGGCACATCGGGCTCTCTTTACACTGGTGGCACATCGGGCTCTGTTTACACTGGTGGCACATTGGGCTCTGTTTACACTTGTGGCACATTGGGCTCTGTTTACACTGGTGGCACATCGAGCTCTGTTTACACTGGTGGCACATCTAGCTCTGCTTACACTAGTGGCACATCTGGCTCTGCTTACACTAGTGGCACATTGGGCTCTGTTTACACTGGTGGTACATAGGGCTCTGTTTACACTGGTGGCACATCAGGCTCTGTTTACACTGGTGGCACATCGGGCTCTGCTTACACTGGTGGCACATTGGGCTCTGCTTACACTGGTGGCACATCGGGCTCTGCTTACACTGGTGGCACATCGGGCTCTGTTTACACTAGTGGCACATTGGGCTCTGTTTACACTGGTGGCACATCAGGCTCTGTTTACACTGGTGGCACATCGGGCTCTGCTTACACTGGTGGCACATTGGGCTCTGTTAACACTGGTGTCACATCGGGTTCTGCTTACACTGGTGGCACATCAGGCTCTGTTTACACTAGGGGCACATTGAGCTCTGTTTACACTGGGGGCACATTGGGCATATGGTGCTTGATTCATTTTCTTATAGATCAATTGGCACTTGATGGGTAATGTGATCAGCACCACGATGGCCACTTTTACTTCTCAGGACATTACATGGTACCCATTTAACGCTGAATCATCCTAGGAAGCAGGGTACATTTTTAAAAGGAAAAAAAAGGCTGCATGCGGATTCATACCCAAGACCTTCTGAAGACAAAGTATCTAGCCGCGATGCTACTGAAGTTCCCAGTCGCTTGTTTCATAACATAAATAAGTATCTAGGATAATTGTAAACATGATTTACTTGCCATAAATTTAGAATATGTTAGGTCTGTCATTGAAAGGGCTGATCAGCAATTGTGGGGTGGCATAGTCACTGTTAGATCAACCAGGTCTCCAATACAGTAAAAACCTCGTTAACACAAACTTGCTTATGACAAACACTAACATAAAAGAAATTGTGGTCCCTAGCAGGAATATATTACTCATAACACATCTGTCAGTGCACGGTTAGCACAGATTATTTTAACACAGAATCTTGTTTTTTCTTAGCGTTCACCATCTTTTAAAAATCTGGTGGAATGTTCTGGTTGTTTGTCCACTTCTGGACTTTAATTTTGTTCCAGAGCTTGTTGGAACCCAGTCCAGTACCTTGTAGCCTTTCTCAGCAGCATTCATCTTAGGGTTTATCTTGGTCATCCCGGCTTTCTCGGTTCCCTTTGCATACAGTTATATTGCCTATTTCGTGATTTTTTTTTTTTGGTCCTCTTCTGCTCATGATTTGCTAAATATATTGCCATCTGTTTTTCTTATAACTGTTGATATGAGCAGTTTGCAAGCCATTTTGGTTGTTTCTTCCTCTTTCTTGAATTCACCCCATTTAATGTTCATCAGTTTCCTTAGGTATTTATTTTTGAATGCATTTAACTTTCTTTCTATGGGACTTTTAGAGTTAAATCTTCTTCTTCTTTTTCGTGTTAACTGGCTGTAAACTCTGGTGGAAAGTTCTGGTTGTTTGTCCACTTCTGGACTTTTAGTCTTGTTCCAGAACCTGAGTGTTGTGTTAAAATCTATTTAACAGATCTGACTTAATTGTATGCACATTGTTTGTTTCAGTCTTTCCGGCAGATACACTCCGATTTCGAAGGAAGCCCCATATTAGTTGACTCTTAGGACAGGCTTGTTGGGGAGGCAGTGGGTCTATTCTTGTTTTCCCCACAGGGGGGGGCCCCAGAATCCACACAGGGATAGAGTTAAATGAATCTATCAGCATTTGAAAAATGCTGGTTTACGATCCTATGACATTCTTTGTGTTTCAGGTGGCGGTGTATCAGGAGAAACTGCGGGAACTTGAGGACAAACAGAATGAACTCATTATTGAAAACATGGAGCTGAAGGAGTTGTGCCTCTTTCTGGATCAAGAACGTGTGCGAATGACTGGCGATCGAGATGAAGGAGATGGCAGCAGCAATGGGACTGTCACAGGACATGAAGACGGCATTGGGGAAACAGCAGGGTCAGGAGCTGCAGGCCAGAGTGTACCAGTACCAAGCAGTTACCCAGTCTGTGAGTACATTTGTTAGTCGTTTAAGTAATCTATGACTGTTTAGTATTATGTGTTAAATGTCTGAATGATTATAGAAATTTTTGTCCTTATGTACCAGCAGACCAGTAGTCCAGGTTTCATTTCCCGCAAGTTATGAAGACTTATTTTCTGAGAAGGAAATATAATGAGAGAAAGAGATCCGGTTTTTCAGCCTTGTGATGTCATGATCCATATACATCAGGGCTTATAATATTTTTTTTATCTGTAAAGCAATATTTGCCTTGATCTTGAGTAGTAAAGCAGATTTCTGGCTTGCCATGATATGGGCAGAAAACCTGGAGGGTTTATATACACTCTCACCGTGATATACTAGGTTGTTAGCAAAACATAACTCCTGTCAGGGCCACAGGAAAGGCTACATACAGTTGCCAGCCTGGCCCCTAGCCAGATTTTTTTAGATTGAAGTATCTAATATTGTGTCCACTTTCGTGCGGATCGACTGTAGATTCTACGTACAGAAACCGTGCCTTACTGTTCTTTCTAAATCAATGCAGAGTTGTATGTGGATGTTCGTACACATTAAGAATCCCTTGGCAGTTGAAAAATTGTCAGTTGAACCTATTGCCCAGGTTCTTCTTCAGCATTCCGAGCCCTTGAGGTTCTTTGCTGCAAATATCACCTGCCTCCATTCATCTCTCTGGTTGGCCTTCTCTTTCCAGTTGGTGAGACCAAGTGTTTGCAGGTCTGTCTGGACATTATCTGTCCATCATCTTCTTGGTCTGCCTCATGGTCTATGATCATTCATCTCCCTTGTGTATTGCCCAGGTTGAATTTTAAAATTAGAAAACCTGTCCACACACAAAAAGGTTGTGGGACAACAGTTTCTTGATGCTCAGCCTTTAAAGGCTCAGATGGCATGGATACAATTGGAGGATGGTAGAGTCTCTAAGGACATCCTCTGTGGTGAATTACAGATGGGTTGAAGATGTCAAAGTTGGCCTCTGCTATGTTATAAGATGTATGCCGGCAAGACATGAATGATACAGGTATTAATGTGGATTCATGGATACCATGGACAGTACTGCATAAAGAGGGAAAATCAGCAAGGGAGTAGGGATAAAGGAGAAAATTAGGTACTTTTTTTATTAGCCGACCATAAAAAGGGGAAATCCACAGGTCACGGGACAGTCAAATATTTCCGGGGTTGGTAGATTAAGCGTATAGTTTTGGTTAGGGTTAGGTAAACCTGCAAAAACCTTGACCTTGGAAGAAACGCGCTTAAGCACAGAAAACACGGAAAACCCACTCTTACCACCCTCTAAAATATTGGACTGTCCCGTGGCATCATTTTTGGTCGGCAAAAAGAAAGCACTGAAAATTATTGCAGATAGGATAAGATCTAAGCGTCTAAGAAGAAGTGTGTTAAATAGATATGATGGCAACAATGATTCTGAAATTCTGTACTCTAATAGTGGAAGAATCTTCTTAACACAAGCTGGTCATGCTAACCAGTGGTGATTCCCTGCCTTCCTGTAGTGTCATATAACATAGTCATCTGGATGGTTGGAAAGGTGTCTAACAGCACCCTACCTTCCTATAGTGTCATATAACATGGTCATCTGGATGGTTGGAAAGGTGTCTAACAGCACCCTGCCTTCCTATATTGTCATATAACATGGTCATCTGGATGGTTGGAAAGTGTCAACATCAGTGTGTCTGATTGCAATATCAACATATTTACTTTCTCATTAATACTTTGGAGCTATCATTATTTACTTTCAAATATTAATTATTTTAAATTTATTCCTTTCAGCTCCTAGTTCAACTGCTAGTTACATCCGCGAACTGGAGCAAAAGGTCCGTTTACTGGAGGAAGAAAAGAAATTATTAGCACAGGTAAGAGAAAATGCACACAGGGTTGGGAAGTATATTTTTTAGTTTTATTTAGCATCTGGATAATATACTATATTTTTCCTTGTATAAGTCAACCCCTCTTTTGTTTTAGCTCACAATTAATTAATAAATATTGTAAACACATTCTGTATGTAAGATGACCCTCTGTTTTAATCTGAAAAAAAGATTGTGAAAATATATTGTCTTATATACAGAAAAATATAGTACTCTAGAACAGCTTTCCAAACTTTTCATTTAGACGATACACTTTTTAGACAAACAAAATTTTGTGACACCGTAATTCAGTCTATCAAACCTAATGTTAAACTAACCCCTTTTGAGAGAGATGAACACATACATAAATCGTTTAACACTTTACATTGGCACGACACACCTTCACACGCTGCAGCCTACCCACTAATGTGTAGTAATACACAGTTTGGAATAATTCACAGTTAATAACATTCTTCTCTATGAGTATATGACTGTAGTGAGCTGCCTATAGTGATGGCCTTCTTTGTCCATTTATGATCATTTACTTGTTTTTTTTTTCTCAAATGTATCCCGTCACGAGTGTAGACAGTTAATCACTAATATATTATTCACTCACTCTGATTTACAGAGAGTTGATCATGTTACTGCTGATGGCCATGATGTGCTGTCTCCACTCTTCACCAGCACACCCTCTGGTCACACACTGAACAAGGAACATACTCAGGTATTTGTATGTGTTATTGCTTATTATTCCTTAAAATGACTATAGTCCGTTCCAGAAGTTATGCCGACTTTAAAAATCTGTAAATCAGTAACCGTTTCTTGTAAACTGTTAAAATTTGGCATGCAACCTTTTAATAATCATGTCCTTGAAGAAAAATATAATCAGATTCCATGATTGTAACTGACTTGCAGAGCATGTTGAGAAAGGTGGAGACTGGCATGCTCTGTGAAGAGTCGCAAGCATCCCTTCAAAGGTCCCATGTAGTTAGCATCCATTTGGATATTTTATCCTGGTCATGCCTGTGTTTTGGGAAATGAGCAGGCAAATTGACTGGTCGGTTGTGCACTACTTGGTGGTGAATTAAGGTATGACAAGCTAGATGTTGTGAGGGCCCTTTGGGAGCAAGTGAACAGTGCAAAGCACAAACAGATCATTACGGTCTTAGGAGAATGGTGCTGTGAGGAGTTACCAGTGGATCTGGCCGAAGCTCGACAGTCAGGGGAAAGGTGAGACATATGTACAGTCATACAGTTACTGGCACCATCAGAACTGGAACTCTTCACTTGCTGCTGAAGATGGGGGACGTTGCACTTATGGGGGTGTCCAAAGTGCTGTGATGTTGATTCAACATTCACAATTTTTTTAGGAGAATAATTATAATTTTTACAGACATCTAGTTTTTATTTTGCCTTATTTGTGCTATATGAAAAAACAAACACCGATTCAGAACATACATTTAGCATGTTTACCGAAAATTTATTGACACATACTAGGCAAAACATCAAATGCCAACCTCTTAGAGGTAATTTGTGTGAAAAACTTAGGGCACTTGTTTTGAATAGTGAAGTAGATATGCAATAATGCTTGTTGATTACTTCATAAAAAGTAAACAGTTTGTGCCAGTTACTGTATATATTCTTTAAAAACATGTTTAGGAGGTACAACAATTATTAGTCCCCAAATGATCATAGAAATTTGCCGCTATAAGAAAATAGCAACATTATGCAATTGTAAATTATAGGAAATCATAAGAACATGGGAAGTCTAAGACCACATGGAAATATTTGTATTAATTTGTAAGGAGTTTTCAAGATGTTTGTTAACGTTTGAGTGCACAGCTTTTAGAATGGACTATAGGGGTTCCCAGACTGGTTGTCTTGAGCTACATTTTTTATTACTTACGTCCTTTTCAGGACGTAAATATTTCTAATTTGAAGCCCCACTCTGGCATTTGCCAGGGGCTGCAATATAGGCAGGCCATCAATATGGCCAATTGTCTGAACGCGGTTTCTGGGACCTCTCCACAGTGATCCTCATCCGCATGGTGGCACTTTGTGTCATCGGGTGTTTATCGCTTGTGTGATGTCCTAGTGGGGTAGAAAGTCAGTCAGTCAATCAGCTACATTTTTGGAATGAAAATTTGTAGGCACTGCATTTTATATTCATAAAGGAATGTTGTTTATATAAGTATTATTAACAATAATAGGGTTATTCAGTCTAAAAACATGTATGAACTATTTTGTATATCACATTATCACATTAACCCTTGAATGTACTATATCATATTCTTCTAATTTTCTTTTCCCAATGGAGCATAGGCCTCTCATAATAAGCCCTATGTAGATTTCTTAACAACTGGTAGACTTTTTTCAGCTACAGTAGCCAGTCTTATACGAACCCTCGTTTGTCACATCTTACAACATGCATTCTGGGGTCATTGTTCCTGTTCTTCGCTTCCCTTATGAAGTGCAACTGGATAAATAAAATGACATTAAAACCTCGCTAACTTGAGTTCCAAGGGACCGAAAAATAAAGAGGTCTTGTAAAAAAAAAAGTGTGAATAATTTCATCCCTGATGGGGCGAACAATTTTTTTTTTAAAATGTTAACCGAATGTTTGTGTTACATGAGTTAATATTGGCGTCTGTGGCCGAGGCGTTGCGAATGTGCTTCGTAATGCTGGGGTGCGGATTTTGATCCTGGCTGTGGACGGTTTGTCTTTTGTTAGTTTCGACAGTGGTACCGAGAGCTGACCATTCAGTAAGCAATGGCAAACTACTGAAAGTAAAAATTTGCCTAGAAAAATCACACCAGCCAAGAAATGCTAGGGTTGGTTCTGCGATGTCCTGTAAAGGATAAGCAACTAACTTTTAAGTTTATGTTAATATGATTTACTGTACCTTCAGTTTTATTTTTAACATCAGAATTTTGACAGAGGCATGTAAATCTTTGATCAGTTGAATATTTGTTACCCTGTCATTACACCTGTCCCATTTGGAAACCACTCACTGGTATTTACATTTATGCCTGGGAGCATGCTGTGTATTATGTTTGGTTGATTTGGCTTGCTGCCCCTTTTCCTTGCATGGTGAATATGTCAGAGCCAGATGAACAGAAAGGCACGTGTACTTAATAAACAGACACTCAGCACTTATGGGAATGTTCAGATGCTGACAGATTATTTGGTGCTGTAAAAGGGAAGTCAAGGACCTTTTTCCCGCACCCTTTGGCATATTGTGAATATAGTGAGACAATTTTTTTCAAGTTTTTCCTTGAAAAACCCTGTTAAACTGTTCAACATATTGGCATGCCACTAAACGGTTACAAAGTAACCTGTAGTCCATCGTGGGTGGGCGGGTATATAGTGCTCATCATCATCATGTGCCCTGCCAACTGGCGTTGGTGCTCAGGCGTCTCCACAGATCACGATCCCTGGTTGCCTGGAACAGCTCTCTTGATATCCCTTCATGCCATCGTTTCAGCCCATCCAGCATCATCTCTCTTGGTCTGCCTCTACCCTTTTTCCCACTGATCTTTCCAGTTGTCACGATGTTCTCAAATGTCTCTCGTCTCATTGTGTGGCCAAAGAACAGTGTTTGTTTCTTATTGTTGTTGATAGAATGTGCTGCTATATGTATTGCATATTCATGTTCCAGTTTGTTCAAATTTGTATTTGTTGTGAGACCTTTTTTATGTTGGCTGAGACAAGTATTTTTAGGAAACAGGTTGTGAAATGTATATTATCAGTTCTGAAAGTGATTAACAGATCTAATCACTCAAATCTTCACCATGCTGTTTAAGAAAAAGGGAGTGGCTTCTGGGGTCCCATTTTGGGGGTGAAAAGAATAGACTCACTTACCCCCTAACAAAGCAAAATTCACTAATAAGAAGTGTTTTTGCTCAAGTCGGAGTGCATCTGGGACACATCATCATCAGCGACCAGGCCGCCCATTAGCTCGCCAGTAGATGACTTCGTTGCCAGTCAGGACAGTATTTGGGTCATCCTCTTTGATCGCATCAACACTGCAAGAGTGTTTTTCAGGGCTACTTGGTGACGTGCTGTGTTAAGCCATTTTATATGGCGCACATAACCTACTCATAGTTGTAACCTAAAACTATCGCTTTGGGGATGTCGGTTGAACTTGACATTTTTTCCCCCGCAAAGCAAGCCATGCATCTGAGAGGTGAGAAACCAACGGTCCACATATAACTAAGAAAAATTGTAAAACAAATTCTCCATTATTTAAAGAAGCATAAAATGGGATACTTTTTACCAGTTCTTAATGATTTACTGCATTTTTTTTTTCAGTAATAAAACATTCACAAAATGCATTCTTTTATACAGCAGATTTCAGTAATTAACATAATTCTTTGCTTTCCCTTCTTGAAATGGGCACCACCTGACCCTGCTCAATCTTGTTGCATGTCATAGTCATTGCATGGATTGAAACCAGGTGCTATATTGCTGAGAAAGTCACCTGTATCTAGCAAACCAGAGACTGTAATGCATGCCATGAAGGTTTGTGAATGTAGTCTTGATGTGGTAACACATAGTGAACAGTATATATTGCAGCCTGTTTGTTAATAGTTCCTTTAATAGAGGTGTTCAGACATCACAGTTTTTCTTTTTAAGAACTAGTTTCTCCTAAATGTTCTTGAATGCCCACATCAGAAAGAGACAGTCTGTATTCATTGGTCATGTGATGAGAAGGAGAAGACTGGAGTACATTGTGACAGTAGGAAAGTTGGAGGGGAGGAGAGGCAGAGGGAGATCAAGAGAAAAGATGCTGGACAGTTTGACATCATGGCATGGAAGATCATCTGTGTCAGAGTTGATTGTACACAAGACAGAAGGTTGTGGATAGACATGACTACCAACGCCACATGGCATGGACTTTAAGAAAAAGAAATATTCTTGTTCATAGATGTCCTGCAACTCTTAATAGGTTGGAGCATGAAAAAAGCATCACTTAGCAGTTACATTACCATCTATCAATTAAAACCACCGTATTTGACTGTGTGTAAGACGGTATGTGTTCTGAAATTTTGTAAGCTTAAAATTGGGATTGTCTGATATAATAAAGAGGGTGTATATATTTATTTCTTTATTTTGGGCTTTAAAGAAAATAAGAGTTGTCTTATACAAGAGGGCGTCTTACACATGGGCAAATACAATATTTTTGGCCTGATATTGCCAGATTCTTAACATGGACCCCTACTTCAACTAATGAGCAGAAACAGATAACAGAGATAAGATGTTTTAGAAATAGTGATGGTATATAACATCATCATCAACATTTGTGTGCTGTTAGGTGTCACATAGGGCTTGCTTTCAATTCCTCCACTCCACTCTATTGCATGCAACTTTCTTGATTTCTGACATAGAGTTCAGCCCATTTTTTGCCTCTCGTAATAATGTTCTTCTTAATGTTTCCCTTAGATGTCCTCTCTTTCTCTCATTGTCATGGCTGTGACTAAAGCAGAAACATGGCTAGAGACACAGACTTTCAGTGGGGCATGCTTTCTCAGTGACTCAATGAGTATTCTAAGGAAGATAGTGAAGGGCTGGGTCCGAAGGCAGTGGTTGGTGGCCATGGACCAGGCTGATATACTGAATGCTCTAAGAGAGTTAAGACATTTGCGTGAACCAACTGAGAACTGTGAATCTGCAACCATGGTCAGACTGCAAGAACATGTTAAAAAGGGTGTCCCCAAAAAAGAACACTGCTCGGGTAGCCAAAGAAGAAGAATAAACCAACACATAACTGGTGTCGTTGCAGGATTTACTGAGGAGGGGGTCCCAGCACGTATGGACTGAGTGTTTCGACGTGCAATGAGGATAATCTAGACTAACTAACTCTCCCTCTCTCTCTCCCCCTCTCTCTTTTTCTCTCTCTCTCTTTCTCTCTCTCTCTCAGACCATTTGTTTTCACTTTCAGTGCCTTTTTTGTAATTCTTTGCTCATTTTATCTCCATATGTGCTCAATATATTTCCATCCTCTTTGTCTTATTGTGGTAGAAGGTGCAGTTTGAGAATGTGTTTGTTTAGACATTTCTCTGAGCTCCTCACTCCTTTTGAATTAATTCCGTTTTATGTTAATGATTTTTCTCAAACATTTTTTTTCAAATGCATTTAACTTTCATTTCATATCTTTGGCTGTTCTCCAACTTTCGCTGGCAAATGTTAGAACTGAAATAACATTAGAATTCTCTTTCTAATGATGGTATAACAAGAAGATATAAAATAACAATAAATAAATTAGAAGACTAGGACTTAAATCAGGCAAGCAGTTCATTAAAGAAGAAGAAAGATAAATCTCTTGTAAGGCTCAACATATAAAATCTTATGAACATCCTGGTGCGCCATTACTATGAATTAATTAGACAAGTCATGACGGTGTAGCTGATAGACACTCCACCTGCCAGCCTGGGGGTCATTAGTTCAAATCTGCATAGAGTCTTGATTTGTTTTTCAAAAATGACTTTGGCTCCCGGTCAATCCAGCCTTGGCTCCAGGTCAGTCCAACCTAAAATGGATACCAGGTAAAGTCTTGGAAAATAAAGGAGGCCATCATGATGCTGACCACATCACCCATCGAATTCCCGTTGGTCTATACAAAATATGAGTCTGGCATGATGTGCCCGATGTACCATTGGTGTAAACGGTCATTTATCATCATCCTATAGCTTGTCTTATACAGAACTTTGCCCCTTATCATAAGCCAGGTAACCTTCATCTGTTCTACTTCTTTTTTTCTCTACTTCTGGAATGCCTCACGGTGTCAGGGCAAGAAGAGATATCTGAAACAGGTCCTTTTATTCGCTTCGTATAAAGTTATTTTCAGTGTATGTGATATTTCTGGGGTCCATATTCTGCGTGGTCAACCTCTGGTTGTGTTACCGCTGTATCATTATAAAATTGCTCTCTGTGATGCATCTGTTTTTGTCACATTAAAATGTGTTATCAGTCTATGTTTGTGGTCTTCCTGTCTCCGCATTCTTGGAATGCCCCCCCCCCCCCCCCCCTCATTTTTCCCATGGTTATTTTCTCCAAGTCTTCCTTTCTTTTAATATGTCCAAAATACTTAATTTTCCCAAGTTTTATGTCTCTTAATAACTAATCTTCCCAATATTTAGTTCCTGGTGAATAGATTCGTTTCTCTTTTCTGTCCACAGAATGTTAAGTATTCAGTGTCACTTAAACTGAAAGTCTGGTATGCACTAACCAGCTGATTTGTTTAATATTCAGCCCTAGCAATCACAAAACAAACAAATTGTGAAGATTACATAGTTTAAGATATAAAATTGTGTAAGTTAGCAGTAAGATTGTTACTGATTAGCCAGACATTGCCTGTTTGTTATTTACGTGGTGAATGTTACTGAATTTTTATATATGTTCATAGGTTCTTCAAGTCCACGAGGAGCTAGAGAAAACACCCACAGACAATGATGGATTAGATGATCCAGAAAAGGCAATTGTTAGAGAGATGTGTAATGTGAGTTTTAAAATCTGTGTCTATGGTTGTGACAGATTTGCATTTATTTCCTGGAAGGCTAACCCAGGCAACTTCTTCCTCTTCTTCTTTTTAAAAAAAATTGTTTTTCTTCTTCTTCTTCTCATCCTCCTCGGCCTCAGCGTTCACCTATTGTAATATGTGGTAAAACATTCTGGTTGTTCGTCCACTTCTGGACTTTGATCTTATTCAAGAACTTAAGTTTTTTGCCTGCACATCCGTTTGGTAGGACTGGCTTATTTGTATGCAGAATGTTGGTTCCTTGCCTCTCAGGCAGATGCACTCCAACTGTGAAGGACACAACCCTAATTAGTCACCTGCCACGACATGCTTGTTAGGGACACAGTGGGTCTGTTCTTATTTCCCCTGAACCCACATGATGGCCCAGGCAACAAATACCTGAAGATGTTGGATGTATTATGGTTGTAAACGGGCACAACATAAATACATTCATGGATGTATGCAGAAGAAGAATGAAGCTTTTTGGGAAGTATGCTAACTCTATCAGTTCCTGTATATTTTTTTTGGCAGCAAATCTCAAAGGAGGGAAATTATCGATATCAAATTCTTGAGTGCATTACCTTCAAAGAGACAGACTGTAAATTAAAAGTGTCCATTATGAATGTCAGATTTCTGTGAGCTAATGTAATATGTACAGAAGCACATTACCTGATGGTTGGGATTCAGAGGATAGAGGAAATCACACAGCAGACATTGTTTGGGACTGAAAGAGTCCCATAACTAGAATTACTGTGATTTTTGCATGTGTGGTTTTGTGATCTTTTTTAAAGGATTTTTTCAGGAATTCCCCAAAATAGTGTTATTAGCCTTGTTTTTTTCTAGATCACTGGAATATTAGGGTTAAAATACGTCAAATATTGTTATGAATATATATTTATATTTTAAAAATAATTATATTAGAAACATTACTTTGTATTATGCATTCAGTTTTCATATTGTTTTATTTTCTGGCCGTAGGTTGTGTGGAGGACACTTGGAGATGTTGAAGATATTGGAAGTTTTAATGAATCCTCAGACAGTATACAAGAACCACCCTTTGTAGCAGAACTAGCTCCTCCTGGCAAGCCCAGTGTTCCTTCTAGCTCAGATCAAACTTATGGCCAAGGCCACACTTTTGCCTACACTAACACGCAGACTGCAGCAAAGCAGTCTAATGTTGGAGGTCATTTCCCAGCTGCTACAGCAGGGCCTGCTTCTTTTCAGCCACAGCCACAGCGAAAAGTGTTCCCAAAACCTGTGCAAGATTCAAAACAGCAACAGGTCAGTCAGTTATTGTACAGCCAGGGTTATAGTGATTCAGGAATGAGAAATAATCAGGGTTCAGCTACGGAGAGATTAGGTATAGACAGAAATAGAAGTGGTTCTTACAAGCAGTCAGTAGAGAGAGCAGACGATCAGAAAAGCCAGGATCAGAAACATCCTTCCCACACGGTGCTGGATGCTGGTGGTAAACCTCATGCTCAGCAACTTCCAACTCATCTTCAGCATCAGCAGCCACCTCCACTATCATCACGTGACTATCAGCAGAGTCTGCCAGATTCTGGCAGCAACATCTACCCTGGTCATCAGAGGCCTGCAGAACTGTCTGCAAGGTCTGCTCCCCTGCCGGTGCATTTTCAGCAGCCTCAACCATCAACCATACATCAGCATTCGCAGAGTTCGACTGCTGTTGCAACACATGCTCATCCTTCACACAGACCTGCAGATCTCAACGCCAGACCTGGGGATCACCCTCTGCATTATCAACCACCTCAGCATCTGCCATCGTCCTCTATTCCAGGCAATCAGAGGATTGTGGACTCAAGTACCAATAAACTGCAGAATGAACGTGGTCATTCACAGCATAATGACGCAAACAGCTTTGCTGGAAATCAGCCCCAGCAGCAGCGAAATACAAAAGCATACCCTCACCAGCAGGTCAAATTATTAGATGCGCCAGGTACCAGTCGCCATTTCCAGAGGTCAGCACCTACTCAAGGTCAAGTACACAGTAGGGATTCGGTTCGTGAAGACAGCTCCCTTGGGCAGACACGACTGCATAGCAGAGGAGACCCTGCTTACAGTGAAAGGAATTCAAGTGAAAGAGACCCTCAGTTGCATCTAGCATCAAGATCATTATCATCATCAACTCTCCCTAACACATCAAATGTCCAGATACCAGTACAGAACCTACAAGGTGTAAAATCGGCACAAAACAGTAAAGGTCCTTCAGTTTTCAGAGCTTATCCTCCACAGTTAGCTTCTTTGCCAGCCCAGTCAGTATCATCTAGAGGGTCACAAAATCAGGAAATGTCATCCGGCAGCAGCCAAAATCAGCAGGATGCCACAAGAGGGATCTACATTTCAGGAAATCATCCACAAAATAAAGGCAGCCTCGCAGGTAAACGGTTGCAAGAGTCAGAGTGGAGACAGACATATTTGGATGATAGTGACACCCTCTGAAATGATATCTGTTCACTTCATTTCCTCCCTGTTCTCAAAATGAGTTACCAGTTAGTACCAAAGTTAAAAAAAAATTTTTTTAGTATAAATATTTAATTCAGAAAGAACATGCATAATACCCAGAGCTTATTTCTACAAAAAAGATGGTAATATTCACTGCAAAGTGTCAAATAAAGGTACTGGGTGTCTATTACAGTAGCACTGAAAAGGTTGTACCATAAAGAGGTGCCGGTACTGCATACTGTTGCATACCGCAAAAGAGGGGAAAAAAAAAGACTGAATAGTACCCAAGACAACAACAATCACTGGTTAACTACATGTTTATTTGGGTAAAGGGGGTCCAAGGGATCGATTTCATTGCATTGAGTTTTGTCCCGTTCTGCTTGGTCTTTCTGGGCAAAATGGATAGCCTAATGCCCAGAGCATTACATTGGGCATTAACTTTGTAGTTCCAGGGATGATCCCCATAGATCTATGTAAAAATTGCACTTATGAACCAAAAACACCTTCTCGCCGACTTACGATCTACGTGGCTTACAACCAAGCACAAAAATAAGTAAATAAAAATAAATCAAGTTAACTATATTTGTAAGGTCAAAAAGTGCTGCTGATGCCTAGAGAGCAGCTGATTCTAATTAAACATACATAGATTTAATTTGTATGTTTTATGTAAACGTTTATAATTCGTTTCAATGAAAACAGTGTTGTAAAAATAAATTCTAATTACAACCTATTATCCATAAAAGAACTCAGTCGTAAGTCAAGGAGATCCTATAACATTGCCTGTGAAACAAACCAGTGACACTTAGAATGCTTGCAAACAACCACAGAGATGTGTGGTATCCAGAAGAAACTGTCACAGTAATTTACAAACAATAATTTTTTGAGCAGTTGCAGAAGTCACTTTATAATGGCATATCATTTTATAAGCAAACTTGATACCAGTGTTGGACTGAAAAAACATGATTGTATATAAGATTATGTGGATCATGGTGATTGAATCATGGAGATTGATATAAGGTTATTGTGTGACAAGGAGAACAATGACAGGGTAAATTTGTTATATTAGTCACTGTACCTGGTTTTTATGAAGCACAAAACAAGATCTAACAATAGTGATAAGGTATATTTTAGTTCATGTTATACACTATTACATGGTATTTTTAAAAATTGTAATGTTAAAAAATATATATAAAATAGGAACCAACAATTATTTGTTATATTTTGTCACGCTGATTTAGGGCTCTGGCTTAGGATTTTTTACTTGTCTTGTTCATTGATAAAAGCTTCTGTTGAAACATTTAGGTGTATGTGTGCATTTCTTGTTCCTTTTTCCTCCCTTGTCGAGCTTCCAAGTGATAGTTTGTCTTTAGCCAGTTCATTTCTTTAAATCAGCACAGCTGTAGTTACCTGTTTTCAACACTATTGAGATTTACATTGAGAAGGCACACATGTTGTCCCTCCCCCCACATCCCATATATTGCTGCACTGCCCTACATGAATGGCATATGTGAAATATTTTCTAGTCCGTGTTATGTTATGTTGATTTGGAGGAATTCTATTACCAGATGCATTTGAATACTTAGCCCTGTGTTCCTTCCTGTATGTGGAACGTATGGCAGTGTTGACTCCCTGGATCCAAATATAGCTAAAGGGTAATGTTGATTAAGTATATTTTCAAAAGAAGGAACATACACTCATTTATAAATATAATATGTATATGTATATGTATATATATATATATATATATATATTCATTCACATATATACTTTTACATACAAAACGGTCTTTATATATTTTTTATTCTGGTGAAAGTTAAGTAGTTAAATTACTGCTTTTACTTTATCTTCTTCTTTTCCTTCTCCTTTACATCTGGGAGGCAAATTTGTGAGAAAAGAAAGTAGCCGCCCTTCTTTATTATGTTATGGCTTAGAATATGAGAAGTGCTAATAATTCTCACCCCAATAGCATTATTCACAATGTGGCAACATTTTCTTTTATACCTGTGATTTTAAACCTTTTGCAGGTGGTGCCAACTTTGCATGTAATGCAAACCCCCCCCCCCCTTCCCCCCATAACTCATGACCATGATTACTAAAGGTAAAGACAGAACTATGACATCGTCTTGGCTAATAAAAAGTGATTTTGTTTTTCCACAGTAATTCCCCAAAAGGTCATTTTTAGCAAATATAATCATATCATACCTTGGCAGATCCTCCTAAACACTGCAGAGACACAAACAAAACCAGCTAGGCTGCTTGGGAACTCACCGCTGTATCAGTGTCAGTTAGCGGTTTCTCTGAGATTATTTATGAAAATGCCGGGTTTGCAGCATCTCGGCGCGAGAGGGTTAAGACATATACTGGTATCCTGTTACCGATTTTAGGCAATGTCAACCTGGGCATTTCTTTGCGTTCACCAGCTGTACACTGGAGTTGAAAGTTCTGGTTGTTTGTCCACTTCTGAAATTTAGTCTTGTTCCAGATCTTGAGTTCTGCTTGCTCATCCATTTTACAGAGCTGCTTATTTGTGTGCAGACTGTTGATTCCTTACCTCTCAGGCAGATGCACTCGAACTTCAAAGGAAAATCCCTAATTAGTAAACTTTTACAACATCCTTATTAGGGAGCCAGTGCGTATATTCTTGTCTCTCCCCCCCCCCCCCCCCCCCCCCCCCCCCCCAGGACGCATTAACATCACGCCAGCCGCCTTTACTTTCCAGAACACTACCTGGTACCTATTTAAAGCTGGGTCGGCATCAGAGCCAGAGTCATTAGTTTTTTTTAAATCCGACTCCATGCAGATTTGAACCCAAGACCTTTGCACATGTAGGCAGATGAATTTCTCCCCATTCTATCCTCTGTAGGATTATATCTTATATGCTTCCTGTTCCCATTGTTGATTTAACATGGTATAAAAGCTGGTAACAATGCATTCAAGTACCCGAGACTTTTTTTGTTTGGTTATATATTTTTGTAAAAAACAACAAAACAGATATTTCTTTATTTCTCTTGTCTACATTTATTATTGTTATTCATGACATACAAGAACAATATCTAGTTTTTCTACAAGCAATTTTGAATTGCAAGCAGTTAAATTTTGTGAGTATGTTGTATTCAGTTGATATTTCAGTCTTAAAATATGTTTGTTTTTTAATCATTCATCAACATTATTATCATTCTGTTGTGCTTATTGTATGTCACATTGAGCTCGCTGTCTGTTTCTTCAGTCAGTTTTATCCTGTGCAGTTTTTTCTATATTAAGTTTGAAATTCAGTCCAGCCCTTCTACCTTCTCTCATCAATGATTGTATTAATGTGTCTGTAGATTGGCTTTGTCCCTGTGTCACCGGAGCCCTCGCGGAAAGCAAAGAATAACCCCACTGCACCCTACCAGGCATGTCGTAAGAGGTAACTAAGGGTGTGTTGGGCTTGAGGTTGAATACCTCATCCTGTAAAAACGATAGCCATAAAAAACAAACAAACCCTGAAAGTGAAGGATAGAACGACTTGGCATGAGTTGGTTGAGGGCCTATGCTCCACTGGGGTTGGGGAGGGGGGTTAGAATTGCAGAAGAAAAAGATTGGCTTCCTACCTCAGTCTATATGTTTCCCATTTCATTGCCTCCTTAGTGACTCGTTTCCCATTTCATTGCCTCCTTTGTGACTCGTTTCCCATTTCAGTGCCTCCTTTGTGACTCGTTTCCCATTTCAGTGCCTCCTTTGTGACTCGTTTCCCATTTCAGTGCCTCCTTTGTGACTCGTTTCCCATTTCAGTGCCTCCTTTGTGACTCGTTTCCCATTTCAGTGCCTCCTTTGTGACTCGTTTCCCATTTCAGTGCCTCCTTTGTGACTCGTTTCCCATTTCAGTGCCTCCTTTGTGACTCTTTATCTGCTTTGTCTTAGAATCTGCTGTACATGGCCATATTTTTATCTTATACCTGTTCATACCAGCTGTTAGCCTGACATTTCTTTGATTTGTTTCCACCTTTGTTGAAATCATCCCGTTCAGAATCCATAATGGTTAATGAGTGTTGTCTTATATTATTAAACTGCCAGTCGGTCAGTTGTACATATTAGAACATGCTGCTAGCGGCCTTGGTCACATATACTTATTGCAGTGTGAAGTACTTTGTTCTCATGCTGCAAACATGACAATCTGGATTTTTCATTATCTTAAAGTTTTCTCTATTGAATAATATTTTTGTGATACTCACTTGAAATGTAAGCCTCAAAGCATTATAGTCTGCTGCATTTGTTTGTTTGTTTGTTTAGCAGTAGCATGTTTTGCAGAAGTTGGGTGACTTGTGTGGACTTATTTATCTACAGACTCTTAAATCCTTGCCTCCCAGGCGAATGTCCTCCAACTTCTAAAGATGCTCCCAGCCAACTCCCATGACATTCTTGTTAGGGAGGCCGTGTGTCTATTCTTGTTTGACTCACAATAGGCCCCGGAACCCACATGGGGAGAACAATTTTCTATTCTACATATTCACACTCTTTCAGTTTTTTTTATTTTACAAATTCCTCAGGTAGTTTATAAGTGTTCCCTTTCTTAATTTATTCAAAAGTCATATTTCTGCCTCTTTTGTTCTGTGAGGAGTCTGTAGATTGCTACTGATTCTTCTGATAAAGTTGGTTGTGTGCATCATCTTTCTGGTGGCCTGGATGTTCAGACTCCCACTTTGTTCTATAAGCTATCTGTGGCTTAGGCTGTGTGAACAGGCTTCATAATTATGAAATACCAGGTTCAGTTTCAGCTGATTTGGTAGCAGGCCACCCAGGCATTGATTTTGATAGTGGTATGAGGTTCTGACCATTCACAAAGCAAGGGCAAACTGCTGAACATAAAATGACCTAGTGAAATCACAGACAGCCCCCCAAAAATATATGCTGGGATTGGATCTGCAACTTCCTGTGCAAAAGATATGCAACTAATTTTAAATCTGAATTGCTTTGTATAAACTTCTTGGCCTTATCATTTGGTCTGCCTGTCTCAGGTT